TTACATAAAAAATGTTTATAAAAAGAATTTTCAATGTATCATAAAAATAATCTGATATATTTCACTCTCTTCTAAATTCTTTGGCACTGTATGGATTCCCTATATTAGAGAGGCAGTTACTTTTAGCACTGTTTGACAGTATAAATTAAAGTTAACCTGCTATGGAAAAAGTAGGAATCTTCAGATTTCTCTATTTGTACTTTTATTCTTCATACTCTCATGTGTGCATATTTACACAGAAATGCTATACATATTTCAATGATTTAAAATGTATAAAAGAAAATATACAAAACCAAAAAATCACTGTTTTTTTTCCCACTGTGTTTTTATACATTACATTAGCAATGCTTAATAAGAAAAATTATAAATTGAAATTTTTAAAAACCATACCACTTATAATAGCTTCAAAAACATGAAATATTTAGAAATAAATCTAAAGATGAGAAATACCTGTCCACTGAAAACTACAAAATACTGAGAGAAATTAAAGAATGTCTAAGTAAACAAGAGATACTTTGTTTATAGGTTGGAAGACTCAATTTTTCTAACATGTTAATCTTCCCCAAATTGAGCTATTTATTCACTGCAGTTCTATTCAAGATCCCAGCAAGGTGCTTTATAGAATGGACTAGTGGACTTTAAAATTCGTATGAAAATGCAAAGGGTATTGAATAGCCCAAACAACTCTGAAAATGAAGGACAAAAGCAGAGGGCTGGTACTACCAGATTATAAAGCTACAGTAATCAAAACACTTGGGCTTCTCAGGTGGCTCAGTGGTAAAGAATCCGCCTGCCAATAAGGGGACATGGGTTTGATCCCTGGGTTGGGAAGGTCCCCTGTAGAAGGAAATGGCAACCCACTCTAGTATTCTTGCCTGCAAAATCCCATGGACAGAGAAGCCTGGCGGGGTAGAGTCCCTGGGGTCACAAAGAGTCAGACACGACTTAGTGAGTAAAACAACAATCAAAACAGCATAGTATTTGCCTAAAGACAGAAAAAGAGACCAACAGAACAGAACAGAGACCAGAAATAAAGATATATATAGACAGCTGATTTTTGAAGGTACAAAGGCAATGAAGTGGGGAAAGGACAATCTCTTCAACAACTGAACATCTGTAACCAAAAAGTAGAAATAAAAAATAAATCTTGTTACAGATCTCATATCATCTATAAAAATTAACTCAAGGTGGCAATTAGATGTAATTATAAGACCCAAATGTAAAAACTTAAACTATATAATATCTAGAAGAGAACACAGAAGAAAATCTTGTGACCTCTAATAGGGCAAAGATTTTTTAGATATGATACCAAAAACAAAATCTATAAGAGAACAAATGGATAAACCGGAGTTCATCACAATTAACAATCACTGCTCTTCAAAAGACACTGTAAAAAAAGAAAGAAAACGATAAGCCATGAAGAGGGGGAAATAATTGCCAAGCATATTTCTAAGAAAGGATTTGAATCCAGAATATACAAAGAGGCAAACAGCAGAGCAGAAAGCTGCAATAAGGAACAGTGTCTGTCATATTACACTCAACAGATATTTTACCAAGGATTTTTAAATCCTGTATACAACTATTAATAACAAACAATAAAACAATTATCCAGGTACCTCCATTATCAACATACTTGCTAAGAATTTACAAACTATCATCCTATTATACTATACTAGAACAGGTATAATAGTTCTCAAATTACAGCTGAGATTCTAAATTAGTTGTTTGAGGCCACATAAGCCAGATAATGCAGGGCAAAGATCAAGCCTAGTAAATCTAGCAAGAATTAAAAGAAGAAAAATACTTTACTTCAAGGCCACTGGGTAGAACTGCCTCCCTCAGCAATATACATTCCAGAGTAAACTTTATACAAGTGTCACTATGACAGCAGCTTTCTTAACACTTAGCCATGCATATCCACAACTCATCAAAATAGGGAAATAAAGTAAAAAAAAAAAAAGAAAGAAAGAAAATACCACTTTATGTTATTCATGGCTGTCTGCATTATAACAGCCTTCTTTTGAGATTTGAGAAAATCTAAACAAGTCATAGGAAAATAAAGAACTGGATTTAGGTATCCAAGAGATACAATACAGCAATGTCACAATAACTCACATAAATATAAGGAATAACAAATTACTTCATAAAAATAAAAGGGGACAAGGCAAACATTAAAATAGTTTATTTATTTACTAGTCACACATTAAAAGTTCTGCAAGTTGTTAACATTCTGTAAGACTCAATGAGGAAAGAAGAAAGCATGTAAATACAGATCACTACTTCCCATCAAGAAGTATGTATGCGAAGACAGTTCTACATCACCTTGAAGACATTAATCTCTGTCCTGTGTTTCTCAACTCTGGATGCACAAAAGGGTCATCTGAGAGCTTTAAAAAAGTCCTGGTATCTGGGCCTCATCCAAGACCAATTAAATCAGAATTTCTGGGAGTAAGACTCAGGCATTTTTTAAGTATTTTTTAAAGCTCCAATGAATAACCAAGGTCGGGAACCACTACTGTTAAGTATGTGTGTGTGTACATAAACACATCTATACATACCTATGGAAGTTGCCATATAACTGGCTAATGTCCCAAGAAAATTAATGAGTTGGGGCTAGGTTTAAATTTTTCATGCCAGAGATACTCATTTATTTCATTCAAATTTATTTTATGTCTCACTTAAGAACCACTGGCAGACATGCATAAATGCAAATGACTTTACTTTCCACAAAAAGGATTCAGACTTAGCCAACTAATATTAACATTAAAATTATGACTTAAGACACATAAGTACTACCTTTCATTCAAGAATATGCTACTTATTCTAGTTCTCACTCTTTTTAAGATGAGCTACAGGCTAAATGGTGTGGTCTATGACAAAAGACCCAGAGCAGTAGGTGGAGGTTGGCAAAGGAATCTCCAGATTTCCTTAAAACCCAAGGGAATCCAGGACTGTCTAGAAAGAAGAACATGGGCCACAACAAACCCGGTCCATTAGAAGCAGAATTCAATGATACAGAAGAAAGTTAAGGAGGGAGAGGGGAGAGAAAGCTGGAGGAATGACCTTGACTAGGCAAAGAGGGGTAGGGACTTAGTAACGAAATAGAAACAACCACTCGTTGTCCTCTACAAGTCGTTCATCCATACCTCAGAAGGGGCGGCAGAGTGGGGATTTGGGCTGGGATTTTGCTAAGCATGTTCTAATCAAGAGTGGAAGACAGTTAAGAGTACATACAAAGTGTATGGAATTAAAGCCGAAAAAGGAAACGTGAAGATTGAGGTAAGTGAGAAATAGTAAAAAGGTGGCAGAATCAACGGAATTGTGGTGTGGAAGGACTACTGAAGGCAGACAATTAGACGGAATGAACTAGGTGTCAGAGACAAATGAATGCTTGTGATTCTAATTCTGGAGGGTCTTGCAATTACTGGTAATGGTAAAATCAAGACTCTGATCACAGGAATGAGTGGCTGAAGGAGAATGGAAGACAAGATAATTGGAGAAACGTAAGAAACTAAAATGTCAGCATGCTGAAATAATCATCATTTAGACAGTGTCACCAAAAATTAAGGATGAATACTGTAGAGAGTGAAAGTGAGCCATGAGAAATGTGATGGAATCACTCAGAGGTCAGCAAATGACTAGTGTGATGTCACATGGGCAGTTAGTCTATTAACACGAAATTCAAACTTGGGGGTCTATCTCAAGAAAGAATTCCTGGAACTGGCAATGAGAATTAAAAAATAGGAGACATACTAAAGGAATTACGAATTGTAGTAGGATAAAGTATTTATTACTCTAAGGAAACGGTCTCATACATCCCAGTAGCACAGCACAGTAACTACAACTAAGAAAGTCAGGACCTGCTAGAGACCCAGTGGAGGCAGCAGAGAAGTTTCACAAAGGTTTGAAAGATGTGAGATGTGTGTTCAAATCTGACAGATGTGAAAAAACATGAGATACTATAAGAAATTCAAAACTTCAACAAGATTAAGGGTAGAAAGAATGAGTGTGTAAGAGATATGAATTAACAGGTGTGGAAGAGAAAGGCCACTACCTTTTTCTCTGAACAAAAGATATTCTCAACAAATTAAAGTGCTGCCCAGAAATCCTTCATAGAAGTCTCCAACATGGAACAAAATGGACAGATTTCAGTTTCATCTCATTTCCCTTACTTTGAAGGAGATGCTAGAAGACAATTAAATAATCCAATAACCTGTACTGTATGAAGATTAACCAACTTTTAGAGAATCAATTGCTTCCACATTGCATACAAAAAAGTATAATCATTATCATAATCTCCAATATCCAAGATTAAAAATGTACCAAGGATATGTGTGCACAAGTGAGATTTTTAAACAGAATGACAGAGCTCAAGCATAAATGCTTTAGTCATAATTTCTTTGCAATGTATACACAAATAAACATGTATGAGGCTAATATAAAAATATAAAATCAATTTTACATTTAAAAGAACAATATTATAAATGAATACACAGCTAACAACAAAACTGCTATATACAACTTTTATAAATGATGAATTAAATATCCTATTGGAAAAGGCGTCTCACTAAGTAACTGTTGCTATATATATTTTACTCCGCATCCATTTTTAGGTTACCAGTTACTATGTCATGGGAAAAGCACCGTACTTGGAAGCCACAGAATACATGTACAAGTGCTGGTGCTGGCACTCATGAACTATAAAGCAAGTTACTTAGCTTTTCTGAGCCTGAGTTTCCTAATTTACAAAGTGGAAATCAAAAATTCGTATCTCATGTGGTTTCATTAAGATTTTTGTGAAGTATGATATCAGCATGAACTCTGAAAACCATAATGAGCTATACAGTTACAGACTTTAAAATACTTTTAAAAGAGAACTAAGAGAGCCGTTAGGCCATCCACTACCCCCTCCCCCCAAAATAAAGCACAGTTAAAACCTGAGATGATAAATCTCACAGATTTTGATAAGCATGGCTCACCACCTCTCTTCGGAACCTTACCTTCGAATGAGCAGGCCCTCTTTCTTTCAGAAGTTTATACTGGGGTTGGACTCTATTGAAACGGGCTAACTCATTTACCAGACACATTGGAGTTTTCTCTTTGGGGTTTGCCATTTTATCTTGGAGAGAAGCTGTAAATAAAAAGGCTGTAAAGTTTTTGTGAAGAATGACTTTACAAAATGGAAGAAAAACTAGTTTTGACTTTTTCAGACTGAAATCAGATAGCATATTTGGATTAAATTATTTTCATGAATTTTAGATAAAAGTTTCAAATCATCTAAATTTCAAATCATCAAACCATCTGATCATCATTCAAATCATCTAAATTTCCATTACATGCAACAGAAGTATGTATCACATTTTAAACAATAAATTAAGGTAAATTTTTTCCTGAGTACCTAAATTGCTCTCTATACATAAACATGATAACAGCATGCTTAAAGATTGAAAAACAGCATAAGATTATATAACAACTTTTAATTTATCCTGTAACTTTCTTCTCAAGAAATTTTAGCATAAACACATAATTCTTACTCTTATTGCTATAAAACTAAATTTTATCTGTTTTATCATTTAATCTTTCTTTTTTCCTTCTCATTCTAAAGTAGCATATTAAATTGAAAAAGCTCCAGATGTGGGAATCAAGTCCTAAGTTTAATTATTAGCTCTCCCAACTATTATTTTTTTGTAATTTTTTAATGGAATTTTGAGGAAAAAAATTAAAATAATTTAACAAATGACCAGTTATCACCCAAAATTAAAATGAGTACTTTGTTTGCTTTTATTCTTACTTTTTAAAAAAAGGAAAAACAGTATTACATTCCAGTTAAGTTCCCTTTATCTTTTCCAGAAACTACCACTATGTGAATTTAAACTATATCCCTCTCAGATATTCTAAAATATATTTATATGCATGCATATATATCCACGAAGAAATACATAATCCTGACATATGTGGTTTTGTAGTTCGCATAAATAGTAATATAACAGACGTACCATTTTCACAATGTTCTTCACTCTTCATTATGTTTTTGAGATTTAACTCATAGCTCCAGTGTTACTTTTTACCTGATGTATAATTTTCAGCACAATACCTTAGCCATGTTTTAACCCTCCATACTGACAGAAGACTTTTATTAATAGATTGTCTTCAATTTCTCACTCTTACAAGTTAAAGTTACACTACCAAACATCACTAAGAAGGACTGTACCAAATGACCTTCCCTCAGCAGCATGATAATTACTATTTCCTTCCAACCTTGAAAATGTGTAGTATGGTCAGATATTTTCATCTCTGACAATCTGATGTCTGACAAAACTGTTTTTGATCATCTGGGTTTCCTCTTCTGGGAACTAGTTCTGTCCTTCTTTCTATTGACTATTTTATGTATAATATTTATCAATCTTTTCTTTTGTGGTCTGTGACTTTACCACCTTAAGAAACCCTCCCTTAATCTAAAAGGTCTTAATTATTTTTACTTAAATTTATTAAGCCTATTATTCTTTATCTATAAAATAAGAGTAATAAATACATTCTACTTAACTAACACTCAGGTTGTTGTAAGGTTACAATTTTTAAATACACAGTACTTTAAATTCTACCACAATTATTATTACAGCTTCAGAATATTTTTATAGTATCTTATCCTATATTTTTCCTTCATCTCATTTACAGACATACATATTTAACTGCTTTTTTAGTTTTTCCTTCACCTCCCATTTTAAAACTTAAGCACAGAGGCTCCCCAGCAGTCCAGTGGCTGCAACTCTGCCTTCTAAAGCAGGGGGCGGGGGTTCAATCCCGAGTTGGGGAAATAGGTTCCCCCATGTCATAGTGTACGGCCAAACACTAAGAAAACACAAAACCTAAGCATAAAACATGCAAATGGATTACTTCCTGCTCAATTAAATCGAAGTCACAATATATAAAGAATACATTAAATAAATGGAAATAGCTGGTTTTAGGAACTTCATCTATAAACTTTCTATGACAAGGTTTAATGTAGAACATAGTATCTTTTTTAATACTTTTACTTTTTAATATCCTTTACAGGACTAATCATTTGGTATAATAACTTGATCACAATCATTATTAAGAAATTATTTTGTTACAATACTACACAAATACCTAGTAAGGCACAGGTTAAAAAAAAAGAAAAGAATATAAGCAACCAACTGTAGGACCAATACAATTGACAGTTAATTCTACAACTAAACCGCAAAGCAAAAATAAACAAATAAGGAACACTACAAAAAAGGTAAAGACTATTAGTCAGAAAAGGTTAAGGAAATCTGCATTTTACTTATTCTATTGCATATCATTCAAACAAACATTTTATAAACATTTCTGTGCCAGGAAGTCAGTTATTATATAAAATACAAAGTGATCTGGGACTACAGTCAAATTTTGGTCCTTGCACACCACAGTGTTAAATACAGATCACACAGCTACCTGAACAGCAAAAAGCAAAAGAAGAATGAAAATGAGAAAATATTTAAGTCTGGTAAAAATGAGTTATTTAGCATAATACTAAAACAGTATACTGCTACCATGACAATTTTCGTAACTCAGCAATGCTGCATATTCATCTGTTATGATACAAAAAATATTAAGATCATAGCAAGAATAATGTTATGATTTTACAGTATAAAAAGTAACAGCACCAGATTTTGGCATGTTTAAATGTGAGTAAAATATGCTTATAGCTCTATAAACTTAGCTCTGTTCGGTAAGAAAATCTTACCTAAATTCCTTAAAGGAAAATGACAGTAAAATGGCACTAAAACTTATATTCCATTCATTCTAACTTTCTGCTTCACAAAAATTACATGAATCTAATAATGGATTCACATAAGAAGTAAATAAAATTAATGACAATGAATTTCACAGTTTTAAAACTTTGCTTCTGAGAGAACAAAGGCCATATACTTAAGAGCCTAAGAGCCTGTTTTGGGTATCTCTGCCACTGACTGACTACTATACATAACCTTAAGAAAGTACTTAAATCTCACTTTCCTGGACAGTGAAATAGAAATAATAATTGTTTTTATATTACTGGATTATAGTATATTGGTTGAATCAAATGATGTAAGATACTATTAACAATAAGAATCTGGTATTACTCTGCATATAAATAATCTTTAGCACACTATCACTGAAAATGAATACAGTGATTTGATTTCATAAACTTTTTTCATGGTTTCCTAAACTAAAATAGATTCCAAGTTAAAATGTTTGTTAGGATAAGGTGATTATATTCATACTATTACACTTTTTTATTATTCTATGAAAAGCATGTATTTGCTATTATTTTTCCACTGACTTACTGTAACGTATTAAGCTTGCTTCCATTGAAAAATCCCCAAGTGTGATATATATTACATTTGAGATTTCTCATATTTCTGTTAGGGAAGAGTTTACCTTGGATATAAAGTTTGTTTACATGTAACACTCCCTAACTTTGACAAGTTACATTGGTAAAATAGCTATAACAACAGGATCTGCACACTCAGCAAAACAGAGGCCTACCCTACTTTTTGAGACAGATTGTTTCTATACTAAAATGTCCTAAACTCTCTGGGACTTGATCTTCAAAATATGCCAAAATAATACAGTTTACAGTTTTCAATCAACAGGCAAAGAATACTTGTTCCAAAGGAGTTCAGAGTCTGGGAGAAAACACACACACACAGAAGAAACAAATACATAGACTACAACATGGTAGGTGCTAAGATAAGACTTTAAAAGGGACTCCTTAGGTGAGGGGGTGTTGAAATGCAGGTTTCAAGGGGTGGTGATTAGATTACATTACATTAGTTAAGGAAAGTAGGCATTCACCAAGTTAGGGAGGGTGGGAAAGAGAAAGAGGCCGAGCTTTTCCAGAGCACACATGCAGAAGAAACCACAGTAAACACGCCACATTCTGGAAAATGCAAGCAGATCACTCGCAGAATGTAGAATGCAGAGTAGGATGCAGCAGAAAAAATGTGACCAGAATCCACCAAAATACCAAAAGTCGCCTAAGCCAGAACTCAAGAGTAGCAGCATTTTTAAGGTAGTTAAATTACAGCTGAAGTGATGCTAGGAAACCATAGGCTAACCTCACCTGCCAAGGCAAGTCTCTCCATAGAAGAATCCGTGTCCATCACAGGTACAGAAAATAACTTGAACACAGTCTATGTCTCTCTGCTGGCTCCCCTTTCCCTATTCCCTGCTACTGGAAGGGGCTCATCCTAATTCCCAAGTAAAATAAAAAGAAAGAAAATAAAGAGTCAAAAAAGAACAAGGAATTTACCTTTCACAGGGTCCTGCCCTCTAAGAGAAACGTTAACTGTCTGTCCACAGCTGCAACTAAAACATAGCTTATAACTTCACATCAGACAGTAACCTAAGGCTGTCCAAGCAAAATCACCACCCAAGGACCAAACTGCTGTACTAGAATTGCCTGTCAATTAGGAAAAATTAGAGTTCCTATCTCATATGGTTGTGGTGGTATTTTAGTCACTATGTCATCCAACTCTTTTGACGCCATGGACTATAGCCCACCAGGCTCTTCTGTCCCTATCTCAAATAGACAGAAAAATTAATTCCAAAAGTATTCAAGTGAAGAATATAAAAATATGACAAAAACACAAGAAAACTTGGCTAAACGTATGTCAAAATCCTGCAACATAGAAAACTTCTAGAAAGAAACCTAAAAATTATGATGGGATAAACTGATAGATTTAACACCACCAAATGTAAAACTTCTATAGAGCAGAAAACACCAGGAATGACACTAAAAAACTGTCAACATAGACAATTCCCCTGGATCTATAGATTAATTTGGTGAAAATCAACATTTCAACAAAGCTGAGGCTTCTGATCTATGTACATGACATACAGTCAATTTTCATTATTGAGATGATGACATCTCAGTGATAGCTATGTTTTTTAACATTCCTGCAAAACAGTTAATTATTAAATACTGAGTCATTGCTTCTGGGGAAATAAAAGGTTCAGCTCAGTTCAGTTCAGTTCAGTCGCTCAGTCGTGTCCGACTCTTTGCGACCCCATGAATCGAAGCACGCCAGGCCTCCCTGTCCATCACCAACTCCCGGCGTTTACTCAAACTCATGCCCATCGAGTCGGTGATGCCATCCAGCCATCTCATCCTCTGTCGCCCCCTTCTCCTCCTGCCCCCAATCTCTCCCAGCATCAGGGTCTTTCCCAATGAGTCAACTCTTCGCATGAGGTGGCCAAAGTACTGGAGTTTCAGCTTCAACATCAGTCCTTGCAATGAACACCCAGGCCTGATCTCCTTTAGGATGGACTGGTTGGATCTCCTTGCAGTCCAAGGGACTCTCAAGAGTCTTCTCCAACACCACAGTTCAAAAGCATCAATTTTTCGGCGCTCAGCTTTCTTCACAGTCCAATTCTCACATCCACACATGACCACTGGAAAAACCATAGCCTTGACCAGACAGACCTCTGTTGGCAAAGTAATGTTTCTGCTTTTTAATATGCTATCTAGGTTGGTCATAACTTTCCTTCCAAGGAGTAAGCATCTTTTAAATTCATGGCTGCAGTCACCATCCACAGTGATTATGGAGCCCCCAAAAATGAAGTCTGACACTGTTTCCACTGTTTCCCCATCTATTTCCCATGAAGTGATGGGACCAGATGCCATGATCTTAGTTTTCTGAATGTTAAGCTTTAAGCCAACTTTTTCACTCTCCTCTTTCACTTTCATCAAAAGGCTTTTTAGTTCCTCTTCACTCTCTTCCATAAGGGTGGTGTCATCTGCATATCTGAGGTTATTGATACTTCTCCCAGAAATCTTGATTCCAGCTTGTGCTTCTTCCAGCCCAGCATTTCTCATGATGTACTCTGCATGTAAGTTAAATAAGCAGAGTGACAATATACAGCCTTGATGTACTCCTTTTCCTATTTGGAACCAGTCTGTTGTTCCATGTCCAGTTCTAACTGTTGCTTTCTGAACTGCATACAGGTTTCTCAAGAGGCAGGTCAGGTGGTCTGGTATTCCCATCTCTTTCAGAATTTTCCACAGTTTATTGTGATCCACACAGTCGAAGGCTTTGGCATAGTCAATAAAGCAGAAATAGATGTTTTTCTGGAACTCTCTTGCTTTTTCGATGATCCAGCGGATACTGGCAATTCAATCTCTGGTTCCTCGGCCTTTTCTAAAACCAGCTTGAATAAAAGCTTAGGTTCCTGTAAACCTCTGGGCATAACATTTTTTTTAGTCAATTAATAAATAACCTTGTTTTATGTGTGTTTTATCTAGCTAAAGATCCCTTACTTAATATATACTGTTGAACTCACTAATATTGAACTCAGAGCCAACAATAACTCCTGAATGAAGTTTAGCGCAACACATATATCTTCTCCATAAGACATATCACAGCCTTTCTGTTCTTAAAGACACTACAAAGCACTTCAGCACTATGCTTGGGAGCCATTTTAAATAGCTAAATCACCAACCAAAAAACACAAAAATAAAAGAAGTTTTTTTTAAAAAAACACAAAAATAAAATGTGGCACTAAATAAGCCAAGAAAAGGACACTTGCTTATGGCAGGAGAACTGAAACAAGAGCAGACTGCCATCTTCCTCAACCCCAGTTCAGATTGTGCACACAGGGCAACTCAACTTTTCACCACTCCGCACTTGTCAGTAAATGATCACAGAAGCGCTGCAAGGATTATTTAGGGGTTACATATAAATTTTAGCAAATAGACCAGCTCACAAATACAGAATCCATGAATAATGAGGATCAAATGGATCTCACTTATTTAGGTATCCTTTCATTTCAGCAGTAATTTATAGCTTTTGGTATTCTTTAACACACTTTGTTAGATTTATCCATAAATATTTCATATTTTTGATACTATTTTTAAATGGTATTTTTTTCAGATTGTTCCTTGCTGTGCATGCTCACTCATGTCAGACTCTTTTGCAAACCCATGGACTACAGCCCATCAGGCTACCCAGTCAATGTAATTTTTCAAGTAAGAATGCTGGAGTGAGGTGCCATTACCTACTCCAAGGGATCTTCCCAACCCAGGGATCAAACCTGCATCTCTTGTGTCTCCTGAATTGGCAGGTGGATCCCTTACCACTGTGCCACCCGGGAAGCCTTGCTAGTGTACAGAAACACAATCAATTTTTGCATATTTATCTTGTATCCTTCAATCTTACTATACTTATTCATTAGGTCTAGCAGGAGTCCATCAGATTTCCTACATAGAAAATCAAGTCACATCTGTTTATTAGGACTTTCTTTTATTCCTATTACAGAACCTACTGCCTGGTTCTGCATCCCACTAATGCTGACACTGGCGTCTTTAGAAACCATTCCTTCCACTTCAAGTATTTTTGAAAAGCTGGTGGTAGGACTATTATCTCTTCCTACAGTATTTAGTAAACTCACCAGTTGATCCAATAGGTGAACTGGACCTACAGTTTTCTTTGTGGGAAGTTTCTTTTTTTAACTACAACTTTAGTACCTTTAATACATATATAGCTATTCAGATTCTCTCTTCTTCTGCTTCCTCTAGAATTACTTTATTCTTTTTCTACATCATTAAGGTGGAAACTAAGGTCATTTATTTGAGATCTTTCTTCTTTCTTAATATAAATATTTAAAGCTATAGATGTCCCACTAAGTACTGTTTTAGCAACATCTAATACATTGTTTCTGTTCTTACTCAATTTAAAATACTTTACAATTTCCCTTTTTGTTTCTTCTTTTAATCATGAATTACTTATAAGATACCATGTAATTTTCAAATATTGTAGATTTTCCAAGGATACTTCTATTAATAATTTCTAATTCAATTGCACTGTTATCTGTTATTTTAGGAGTTGATTCCTTCTGAATTACTGAAATTTGTTTTATGGCCCAAAATAGTCTATCTTGGTAAATGTTCTGTATGACCTTGTGAACAAATGGATATCCTGCCCTTCTTGTTTAAAGCTGTTTGTAAATGCAGCCAGGTCAAGTTGGGTTGACAGTATTATTCAAGTCTACTACATCTTTGAAACCTTTTTTTCTGTCAGTTTGTTACATCACTTATTGAGAGGGATCACTGAAATCTCTGACCATAATTGTGAGTGTTTCCGTGAATTTCTGTTAGTTTTTGCTTCATTTGTTTTGAAATTCTATTACTAGGTGCCAGTGGCTGGGTGACAAAGAATCTGCCTGCCAGTGCAGGAGACCTGGGTTCAAACCCTGGGGCAGGAAGATTCCCTGGAGGAGGAAATGGCTACCCACTCCAGTACTCTTTCCTGGGAAATCCTCTGGACAGAGGAGCCTGGTGGGCTACAGTCCAGAGGGCTGCAAAAGAGTGAGACACAGCTTAGCAACTAAACAGCAACAACAACAACAAAATATTGAGCACTGATAGTCCTCTTAATTAACTGATCCCTTTATTGTTAGGAAATGATCTTCTTTAACCCAGGTAGGAAATATTCTGTGCTCTGAAACCTACTGTAATACTAATAAAACCACTCCAAGTTTCTTTCAACTAAGTTAATGTGTTATGTCTTTTTCCATTCTTTTAATCTATTTGTTGTTTACAGTTACTATTTCTTACAGGCGAGTATATGGTGGAATCTTGCTTTTTAATTCAATACCAGCCTTCAAATCAGGATGTTTTTTAACACTACTTACTTTTTTAAAAATATGAAACACCACACAAATTTATGTCATCTTTGTACATCTCTGCATCATTCCAATTTTACATGTGCTGCTGAAGCAAACACTATTTACATTTAATGGGATTATACAATATCATTAAGTTTGAACCTATCATATTATTATATTTTTCCCGTCTGGTCTTTGGTCCCTTCATCTTTTCATGGTTTCTGTTGACTTAATTATTTTGTATATTCAATTCTATCTACTGCTTTGGATTATTAGCTATAAGTCTGTGTTTTTTTGTTTGTTTTTTGTTTTTTTTTGCTATTTTACTAACTGCTACAGTTAATGACATATACCTTATCTACCTCTATATTGTACCACCTCATGAAGGGCATTAAAATCTTTAATAATATCCTTCCTTTTCTCCCTCAACCTTCAAGCTGTTACTATGCACTGTACTTTTTTGTATGCTATAAGCTTCACAATAGCTTAATATATTTGC